AGGGCTGTGAACAGTAACCCCAAGCTCCCCTAGAAGATTCTTCTGCCACAATACTCCAGCCACCCCATGTGCCATAGCTCTATACTCTGCTTCAGCACTTAACCTTGCAATTACACTCTGTTTTCTACTTCTCCATGTCACTAGATTTCCTCCCACAAACGTACAATACCCACTTGTGGATTTTCTATCATCCACAGCACCTGCCCAAATAGCATCTGTATAGACTTCCACTTTCAAATGGTTATGTTTACTGAATAGCAAACTAGTTCCTAGATACTTCTTCAAAAACCTGAGAATTCTCTCCACTGCCTCCATGTGTGGTCTCTTAGGGGAACGCATGAATTGGCTTAGGACCCCAACTGAATAAGGCTGCATTTGGCATTCCTTATTTTAAAGACTTATCTCCTTTTTGCAATTAAAATGCTCCTATTAATACTGAGTTTTTTATAGAAAAAAGGAGATAAGTCCTTAAATAAGGAATGCCAAATGCAGCCTAAGCAAAGTCCAGACATGTCATAGACAAATAAAGCAACCTTCACACTAACCTCTAAAACTGGTTTACATCTTTCAGAGGGTCACCATCACAATCACCCAGTTTATAGTCAACATCCATAGGAGTATCTGCTAGCTTTGCACCTAACTTGCATGTGTTTTGTAACAGATCAAGGATGTACTTCCTCTAAGAAATGAAGATGCCCCTTTTTGAGCGAACAACCTCAGTTCTAAGAAAGTACTTTAGTGGACCCAGATCTTCCACTTCAAATTGGGAAGCTAGGAATTCCTTCAACTTTTGTATTTTCGAGCTCCGGTTCCCTACAATGATGATATCATCTACATACACTATAAACATTGCAACTTGTTCTTGGCACCTCTTCACAAAGAGAGTCTGATCAGACTGACATGTTTGAATCCAACTTGCTGCACCGCCATATGAAACCTATTGAACCATGCTCTGGGAGATTGTTTTAGGCCGTAGAGGGACTTTCTTAACTTGCACACCTTATCTTCACTTCCTTTGGCACAAAAACCTGGTGACTGAACCACATACACCTCCTCTTCCAAATAACCATTTAAAAAGGCATTCTTTACATCAAGTTGATGCAATTCCCAATCAAGGTTTGCAACCAATGATATAAGAACCCGAATTGAGTTCACCTTAGCTACTAGAGAAAATGTTCCATCATAGTCAACACCATAGACTTGAGTGTACCCTTTTGCTACCAACCTTGCTTTGTACCTTTCAATTGTTCCATCCGCCTTGTGTTTTACTGTAAACACCCATTTACACACCACTGGGTCTTTCCCTTTTAGAAGATCCACCAATTCCCAAGTGTGCTTCTTATGAAGGGCATTAATCTCCTCCTTCATAGCATCTGTCCATTTAGGGCAAGTTAAAGCCTTTGCCACATTTCTATGCATGGGAATGCTATCAACTACAGATAGGAAGACACGGTAAGAGAGGGAAATATTATCATATGATACATACTAGGTAATGGGGTGTTTGGTAGTGCATGACCAGACTCCCTTTCTTTGAGCAATAGGAATGTCAAGGTCATCCACAACCGAAATGGGAGCAGGGGCATCAACAGGAGCATGGGTGCCTAGTCATTTGGACTTACCTCTTGGGAATCTGAAGGTGTCGGTTACTCAGTATCTAGTAGCTCCACATCTTTATCATGTTGCTGATCTCTACGGCAATTACATATGAAGGCATGAAAAGAAGCAGGATCTAGAACAGAAGCAAGGGATACTTGACAAACCCGCTTTTCCTCCTCCACGCTACTCTCCCCTTGAGGAGAAGCAGGGAAGAATGGTTCAAACTCAATAAAGGAAACATCCATAGAGACAAAAAACTTATGACCAATGGGATCAAAGCATCAGTAACCCTTTTGAGAGGAGGGATACCCCAAAAAGATACATGGAATAGACCAAGGGTCTAACTTACCATGAGACAGAGATAAATCATGGACAAAAGCATGACAACCAAACACTCATGGGGATGGAAAATAAAGGAGACTGAGGGGACAACTAATGAGGAACCTTCTAGTTCAACACTCTGGAGGGCATGCGATTGATGACATGAGCAGTAGCAAGTACAACATCTATCCAAAATCATTTTGGTACATTCATCTGTAACATCATCCCTCGTGCTACCTAAAGGTGTTTGTTATTTCTTTCTGCAACACCATTCTATTGTGGTGTTCTCGCACATAAACTCCTATGAAGGGATCCATGAGAAGCAAAAAACTCATTGAGCTCACCATGGAAATATTCATTTGCATTATTTGATTGAAAAATATAGATTTCAACATGAAATTGCGTAAACACCATCCTCTAGAAATCCCTCACAATCTTTGGAACTTCGTCTTTGCTACGCATGGGAAATACCCCTATATAGCAGGAAAAGTCATCAATCAATGTGATAAAGTAGTTATACCCACCCTCTAAAGTTATAGTAGTAGCCCCCCAAACATCAGAATACACAATATGGAAAGGGAAACTTGATCTTTTATTACCTGAATGAAATATTATTCTACATTGCTTGCTCAACTAACATGTTTGACACTAGAAATCTAACATTGAACAAGACTTAAATAAAAAAGGAAACAAAGAATTCACTACTTAAAATGACACATGACTTAACCGATTATTCCACAGAAAAAATACTCCTATTTGATTAACTATGTGACTCTAGAGATGACACTGGGAAACCAGCCTTGTTGTCAAGAGTGTAGAGATCATCCACTAAGCTTCCTCTACCAATTGTCCTCCCATAAGTTAGATACTGAAAAACACATGAACCAAGAAAAAAAGGTTAAACTACAGTTTTAACAGCTTGTGATGATACTAATGGAAAGAACATTGATGGGAAGTTGAGGTACATGCAACACATTATTCAGGTTAAGTCCATGAGGAAAGGATATTGATCATTAGCCTGCAATGAAGGAGAATGATCCATCTACAAGCTTCACCTTATCCCTTTCTAACAAAAGGCTATAAGACTAAAAAAGATTTGGCTTACCAATCATGTGGTTAGAGGCCCCTGAGTCAATGATCCAAGGGGAATCAGTGGCAATGGAGAAATGGAAGGCAAAGGTTACATTACCTGATGTAGAAGCAAATGAAGTAGGAATACCAATAGTTGAATTATCCATCTAGCGTAAGGCCCTACCAAATGACCATGAAAGGAATTAATGATATCTTCCTTGGTGTCAAAACCAGTGAAGTGCTCCTGAGCAGTACGAGTTGACACCCTAGCAGGCTGAGTATCTTGGGGTTGCCATATTTGCTGCATTAGACTTCTTCTGACCCTACACCTTAACCTGTTCTTGGTTCTTTACATCCCACTTTGACCTTCCATAGAGCTTCCAGCATGTGTCAGGTATATGTCTTGAACGCCGACAATGAGTACTGATCAACTTGTCTTTATCGTCAACTATCTTGGAATCACTCTTCTTTCCCATATTGTTACCACCCACTGTAGCTAATGCCACCTGTTGCTCCCCGGCCCCCTTAGTTATAACCATCACACTCCATCTACTTTCCACAAACTGGACAAGAGCATACACCTCTTGAATTGAAGGCAACTCTTTACTTCCCAAAATCTGAACTCTAAGAGATTCTTATACGGGGTCTAGTCCCAACAAGAAAGAAAAAACCTATTGCTGAGAAACCAACTTCTTATAGGCTTTAGCATCATCATCAAGTTTCCACTCTATAGCCTGATAGTGGTCCAACACCTTCCATTCTGAAGTAAGGGCTGAATAATAGGCTAACAAACTACGGTTACCCTGTTTATCGGTTGAGGATTCAGCTTGTAGCTGGTAAATCTTGGTATAGTGCCTTTGCTTAGAGTTGGTGGTTTTGGTCTATTCCCACATTTCACTAGCAGTTTCTACCCACATAAAGCTCTTCACATCAGGTTCCATGGCTGCAAGAAGCCAGGACATCACTATGCTCTGCTCTTGGTCCCACCTATCATGTTCAGTTTTCCCACTCTTAGGTCCTTCATTTTACTCTTCTGTTTATGTAACCAGCTTTTCCCCTTGTTGTAACATAAAATTTTACACCTTTAGCCCACTCTGGTAGTTCAGGCCATTTAAAGGGGTAATTGGCATAGGAAACCCGGATGAAGCAGAATCATCATTTGCCATTGAGAAAAAATTCTATAGGACAAAAAACAAGAACCACAGGTGCACAAGACTTGTCCTCACTCAGCTACTACCACTCACAGTCACAATTAGGACACTAAACACCAAAAATTCTGCTTCTGAAGTAAAGAAAATACTGCTGAAATCCCATTGGCAGCAATTAAACAGTCCAGAAATTTAAGTTCTAGTCACCATTAGACCACACACTACATATACCAAACAATCACAGCACATGCATGTGACAAAGGGTATCACACACAACACATACCAAGTAATCACAGCGCATACCTGTGACAAAGGGGATCACGCACCCCTGTACAGCACCTGTATGAAGGTGCAAACCCAAAGGAAAAGAGCCTTCACAGCATCGGCCACCTCCAACTAGGGTTACCTTGGTGTTACGACCAAGAACCCAAAAAAACCAGTAAAAGAGTGTTCTGACCAGTCCGATTAGGGTTTCTTGTCTTCCCTGTCCAAAAATCAGAAATCTGAGTAAAGTGAATGTGATTCAGAGAGAAAAAAGGATTCCTATTGCCCAGATTGTGCTTTGATACCATGTTTTCTTTCTAGAAGAGAGAGAGGAGGGAGAGGAGAAGAGAGAAGAGAAGAAGAGAGGGAGAAAGATGTTTGAGGGTCAAAAGTTCTGGCTGGCGGCGCCCAGCTTCTTATTTTTAATAACATGAAATAAATAAAAGAAGAAAAAAGACATTCTTGCCCCTGGCAGCACACCCTAATAATAAAACAATAAATAGAGGATAAGAACATGCTGACAGCACTCTAACAGCAGAAAAATAACAACTCTAACAACAGAAACAATTTGATAAATTTGACAAAAATAAAAATGCAAACCTTGAGTAGCAGTTGGACCAAAGACCTTGTTGAACTTAAACATCCGGCAGCTGTCTTTTCCTTGTTTGGAGGGATTTACAACAGCTAATTCACCGTTATCACCAATATATTCTATGGTTGTCTGCTTTCCATTCTGCCCAGGAAGGAATGGCCTTATACGACAGTACACCCTAATATTACCTATCAAAGAAAAACAAAACTAAGAAGCAAAATAATTAACTATAACACAGCCATTAATTGTAAGTTACTAATTAATGGCACCTTTCAAGTCCTGAACTTCATTATAAAGCCTCCGGTTTTCTGCAAGAACTACGTGATAATTTTCAACTGTATCTGCTAATCCTTTAAGCTTTTTACCTGCACAAATTGAATGTTGAGAATAAAAATTGGACATACCAGTATAACTCTAATAAGAATCTATTGGGTTAATACATCATACCCAAGTGACTAAATTCCTCTAAATAGGTTTGTTGTGTACTCATAACCTCTTGCTTGATGGACTCAGAAGCTACCCTCAGTTCCTGAATGGTTTCAAAGCATGAATGAAAGGTCTTAAGTGTAAGAGCACTGAAAAAGATGAGGAAAGAGTTCAGAACACAGTAAATTTAGCAAACCTGAAGAGATTCAAACTGAGACTTTATAAAACTCAGGTAGCTGCATTCCTTTTTCTTCCAATTTTCAGCTTTAGAACTGGAAAATGCCTCAAATTCTTTAACTTCCTCCTGTGAAGTTTTTAAAAGGAATTCAAGCTCCTTTAATCTCTCCTCCAGGTCATGTTTAGTTCCCTTAGCCTCCGATTCCAACTGCAAACAACGCTCTTCGTAAGTCCTTTTGGCCATTACTAATTCCTGCTTCAGGGAAGATATTTCACTATCAGTGAGGTCCTTCTCTTTCATTAGTCTAAGCACATCCTGCTCATGTTTCATTCTCTCTTCCATTTTGGTCTTCTCTGTCTGCAATGAGCAATAGATAATGAGAATAGTAATGCAGCAATTAAATATGCAAATACATGTTACATGTAAAGTAATATGTCAAGAATATGATTAATGCATTGTAATAGTAGTTTAGTAATATGTTGATTGTTAGAATACAGGTTACACGCTTATAACTATGAGAGCAGAGTTGTAATTTCAGCATTTATTATAATAGACACCTTTTTGGGTGGACTAGAAAGATTAGGTTGAATGTCTATTGCTCTCCCTATTTTCTCTTTTTCTTTTCTAACAACAGAATGAATTTCATTTTTTATCAATAACTCATAACTTTCATTAATAAAAAGAACTAAATACAGTAGAAAGGGAGATAAAATCTCTTTACTCCCACACCATTAGACAAACAAAAAAAAACAAAGAGAACAAGATTACAAGTGAGCCCAAAACATAGAGTCCCTAGTCATCCCTTGTTTGGCTAACCCATCAGCAAAGGAGTTCGCACTTCTTTTTACCCAGTTCAGTTTGACTTCAGTATCCTTAGTCAGTCACATAAATGTCCTCTTCTCATTGCTGTAGTTCCAAAAGCTAGCATTATCTTCTTTTAGCCAGCCCACTACAATTTAGAATCTCCCTCTATAACCAATTTAGTGATGTTCATCTCATTAACCCTTTGAATTCCTTCTAGGACATCTGAGATCTCAGCCCGGAGAGCATCACCCACTCCAATTGGCCCTGAAAACATAGCTAACACCCTACCCTCCTCAATTCTTAGGACACCCCCAATACCTGAAGGACATGGGTTTCCAACAAGGTTTTTAAAACCGACCTGGAGAACAAACCGGTCAAAACCATTCGAACGGTCGGCCCGTTCTGACAAAAAAAATAAAAAAATAAAAAACGGTCAAAACCATTCGAATGGTTCGAACGGTTAACCGCCCGGGTCAGCGGTTTGCTGACCAAAATCAACGATCAAGATAATACAGTCCACCTGCTTCATGCCCTCCACCAATCTTCATCCCCGTCTTGAGATCCTGAAAGACACACATAGAAGGATAAAAGGTAATGAAGCAGTTAAGTGATTTGGTTAGCTTACTAACAGACATAAGGTTAAAAGGCAATTTAGGAACATACAGAAC